ACCCAAGGGTGGCTTCAGGACATCAGTGTCCTCCAGCCATTGGCCAACAGGAAGAGCACCCAGAGGTGGCTTCAGGCCACCAACTTTTCCCAGTGGTTTCAGGCCACCTAGGGGAGCACCTGGGGGAAGCTTCAGGCCACCAAAGCTCCCCAGTGATTGGCCAACATGGGGGTCACTCAAGGGTGGCTTCAGGCCACCAATGTCCTCCAACCATTGGCCAACAAAAGGAGCACCCAGCCAAGCTGAAGGAGCTCCAGGCCACCAGCCCACTCCAGTGCAAACCAGTAGGCTCTAGAAATCCCCAACCTGGTGACAACCCCACCCTTGTCTTCTTCAAAGGTGCAGGTTCCTTGAGCACCTTGGCTGACGGTGACATTTCTGCCCCCCACCCCTCCCCCAGGAGAAGACCCCAGGGGCTGGTGCCCCCCTTGGAAGATGCTCCCACCCTTTTTGATCAGCTCGATGGCCTTGGCTCTCTGGTCCACCCCGAAGCTCTCCCACTGCTGGGTGCTGTCCAGGTAGTGGGTGGCAATGACCGTGGGGGTCATCCCGATCATGTTCTGCTCCCCACAACCCGCCGGGGTGGTGATCAGGTGCTTCAGCTTCTCCCCATCGATGGCCTTCTCCACCATGATGGACATGGGGTTGCCTGGAGCAGAAGAAGAGGAGATGCCAAGCTTGGAGAGTGTGTGTGTGTGTGTCACCCCTCCCAGCTTGTCCCCAGGGGTGTCCCCTCCCCTGCTGTCACCTTGGATGCTGACTTTGGTCTCCGACTCGGTGTTGGGGACAATGTCAGAGAGGTTGGCTGCCCTCACCTTCTCCTCCTGCACACCATCTGTGGGGCATGATGGAGATGGGTGACCCCAAATCCCTCATGTCCCTTGTCCCCTCCCCCGGAGGTGCCCCAGCCCTGCCACACATCTGCACCGGGATGTCCCTTGTCCCTCAGGATGATCCAGAGACACATCAGGATGTCCCTTGTCTCCCCCAAGATGCCCCAGCTCCAGGCAGGATGTCCCTTGTCCCCGAGGTGCCCCAGCTCCAAGCAGGATGTCCCTTGTCCCCAGGGTGCCCCAGCTCCAAGCAGGATGTCCCTTGTCCCCAAGGTGTCCCAGCTCCAAGCAGGATGTCCCTTGTCCCCAAGGTGCCCCAGCTCCAAGCAGGATGTCCCTTGTCCCCAGGGTGCCCCAGCTCCAAGCAGGATGTCCCTTGTCCCCAGGGTGCCCCAGCTCCAAGCAGGATGTCCCTTGTCCCCAGGGTGCCCCAGCTCCAAGCAGGATGTCCCTTGTCCCCAGGGTGCCCCAGCTCCAAGCAGGATGTCCCTTGTCCCCAGGGTGCCCCAGCTCCAAGCAGGATGTCCCTTGTCCCCA